CCTCGTAGAGTGTTAACAATTTTTCTGATAAATCCAGATTCTTTTAAAAAGACACAACTTTTGGAAAGCTGCACTTATCGTTCGAGCTTGAACTACGTCATATCCAGCAACCGTTCCAGCTGCAGCACGTCAGTCAGCCAAATCGGGCTCGAGTCTTCGCCTTCGACATAAGAATTACCGTCTGGAGAACTGTTATCTCAACTCCAAGTTTTGTGAGAGCGTCTATGATAAAGGCTCCATGATTGGGCGAGCACCACACATTAGCTAGCCTCGAATTGGCTCGGAGGACATGAGAACGAAGTTGGATTCAACAGGTGATTCGTCAGGATAGAAAACCCTTTCATTGAGGGACTACTTAAGGGTCCTTTGGGTTTGGGCTTATTTTCTGATAGGAATAATTAATTGAGAGGGGCCCAGTGGATATCGCATTTGATGGAGGCATACCAGAGAAGTTTTATTGTTCTTCAAGCGGGGGGACCTCGGCGGATCTCTTATGGTGTAGGCTGCATTTTGCAAAATACTGTACTTCTGCAGCTCTTGCGTGGTGCGTAACGAACTCTGGCGGATACGAGGATGTTCCCGCTAATCACTTTACTGTAGTTTCTAAATGAAGATCGCCCGGTCTAATTTGATCTTCATTCACGACGATGCCACCATCTACTGCTGTCGGTTCGGTAACAGCGGCTTAGCATAAACGAAAGCAATGTTACAGGTTGGCTCTCATGCAATTCGACAAATCCTAGAGAGAACTTCTGAGGTACTGCTTCATGGCAGATCTGCGCTGGTGGAAAGCAGATAAATATTGTGGAAGTTCTCAAGAGTACTGTCAGGACGTTGCAATCAATCTGGGCGCTGTTCTTCTGTAGAAAGTTCAATTCGTCCAGGCACATGATGGAAATAGTGTGTGCCCACAGAATCGCAAAATACTAGACAGGAGCAAAAAATGTCAGAGTCCTCCTGACCAGGGTGCCTTTATACTTTAAAAGAAGAACATTTTCGAACTTTCTTATGAAAATGTTTGCAGCTTAGATTTCGTTCTACAATAAAGTTAACTATGGGTCAGAGCACGCCGAATTTATTCAATGAGGTTGCGTACCACGGAGCCTCCATCCTTACTAATGGTACGAACAGCTGTTTTTAGGGGAGCCTTTGCACATTGGAGTGAAATATACTCGAATTTCAACAGAGGCGAGGACCTGTGGGCTGCCCATTGACAGCACTGAGCGGGAGATTTACACACGGATATGTGTCGGTAGTCACTGCGCGACGTCGCGTCATCTGCACTTGAATTTCGCTCCAGATCCGACCGCTGCGCATTCTGCACGCTGACATTGCATTCTTAGTCTGGAGATATTTTTCCCGCCGCCTGAAATATGTGTATATGTTATGCATTACATACAAAAGAAACAGAATCCGAGCCAAGCACAAGAAGCCTACGCATGTGGTGCGACTCGCGGGCAGTGACTTTGTGGCTTTAAGCCAAACAATCGTAAAAATTTTCGATACAGTGCTAGTATAAGATGAATACAGACCATTGCAGAATGGAAGTACACACAGAAAGACTTGTTGCGGCTTGCAAGTACCTTAAGGAGGATCTCACAATATGAACGAATGTCAAAGAGGGGCAAAATTTCCTAGTTGGAAGACAGGCGGACCTCCTGAGGGTGCGGACCGGCAGCGAAACATCAGACCTCGGCGACTAGCATGGCTCACTCTTGATGCAGTTGGCGCGGTACATCCACCTACATAGCCAGAGCGGAGCTTAAGCGTTCCCAGGGTATGCGATGGAGTCGAATCAATGCGCACGGGGCAAGAAAGAGTCCCAATCTTCTCGGATCCGGCGGGTCGAATGTTATTCCTTCTCTCTTATCACTAATTTGTTAGCTATTGCTCCCATTAACTAAATTAAACATCAAATGGTTGCCCTTTTCAGTATAAAGTCCCACCTTTGAAGGAGGAGGCTGTTTCAGCCGGCGAAGGCAACAGTGCTCAAATACTGTTTGGGGTTATGAGTACAGTATGTAGCAGTATGGAATTACGACAGTTTACAGTATACGTTATGGTAGGAGATACTGGACTTTAACGATCTGCCTTCCAGAACACACCCCTCAAATCCGAATGTTTTTCTAACAGAAAAAAATATTACAGAGAACTCCGAACAATCAACTACTGCGAAAAGTCGAGTGTTTTCTGAGGACAGTTGGGAGTTCACGCCACCAAATTTCCGATACTCATCAATGAGGTTCGAGTAGGTTATGTGAAGTTCATATTTCACATTTTCCGACCAAATATCAGTATTACTCAGATGGCTCATTCAGGAATGGTGGAGTTACACCGTTGAACATCGACACCTCCACCTTGTTCGGCATGGATGAAGACGATAGTGAGGAAGACGATGTGAAGGACGCCAAGACAGAAGGTCCATTGAAGAAAGGTTCAGGGAACTTGGAAGAAACTCCCAAGAAAGTGAGCACAAAGGTGGAAAAGAGCGGCCTGGGTATTAGACCAACGAAAGGAAAAGTGGAGAAAACTGAAAAGAAGCAAAATATATCAGTCAATGCGAGGAAAGGAGCGATCTCGAAAGTGAAAGTTGGCCTCAGTCGAGAAAAGTACGACTCCTCAACCACAAAGAGCGAAATCTCGACCACCAAAAAGCCACCTACCACTAAAGCGCGGCCAACTGCGACTACTAGAAAAGAGTTCGTACCTGTGGGAGATGGGAAAATAATCCAAGAGGCAGAAGACGTCGGCGAGAAGAAGTTGCCTTCACTCGCTCTACCCACTGATCCAAACCGAGAACTACCACCTTCCTCTACTACCAAATGGGTCTTACCACATTCTTCAACTACTAACTGGCCCTTACCATCTTCTTCAACTATCCCATCTAGTAGCGAATGGACCTCCACAGACCCTGATGTTCTCCTAGAGGAAGTGAGTCGTCTTTCAAAGGAAACGACCCAGAGAGTCACGCCCAATGGTAACATCAGTCTCAAGACGCTACTGCGATTCCTGATGTTCTCTCGGAGGAGACGCAGAAGCCTGTCGATGACGTGCACTCGCGTGAGGTCAGTACGGCTCGAGATGTCTCCCTGGAGGAGGTGCTTCGTCACTCAAAGGAGCCCACACAGACAACGGCTGAAGATGATATTCAGCCTCACAAGATTACTACGGACCCGGACGTCTCCTTGGAGGAAGTAAGACACCACTCGAATGAAGAGACGCAGACAACGAAGTCTGATGATAACACGCCGTCTCGAAATAGGGTTCCTTCCAGCAGATACGGAGACACATATAGGATCATCCGTAGATTCCAAGCATGATGATCAGGATGAGCCATGGCATTCGTCAAACTCAAGAAGAAGTCAGACGACAATCAAACCCAGGAGACCAAAGATTGGCATTGAAAAGTGGGTTTTTTCTATTCTTTTGGGAGGTTTTTTGTTTCTAATATAAGTGCGCAGAAGCTGATTTTTCCCTTCACTAGCAAGCAGGAAGGGTATGGCATAGACGATCAACTCGGTCGTAGAGTTCCCGCTGAAAGGAACACCTTTGCCAATGGTTTCTCGTTCATGCTTAGTGTTTCGGATAAGTAGAAGATAAGAGGAGAGTCCGAATAAAAAATTAGATGCATGTCAACTCCCACGTTGATGGAAATGTACTTTGGGCTGAAAGATATCCAGATAGACAAACTAGTCGATGCTTATTTAGCTCCTTCACAAATCTTTGGATACCCGACAGGAGGCCCGTCGCGCGGCAAGAAGGCAGAGTCAGCGGACGAGTCGCAGCGCGTACTGTAGTGATTTCGCGTCAAGTTAAATAGAATGTACCATTGTACGTCCTACATCGCACAGCACGCGCTGCGACTCGTCCGCTGACTCTGCCTTCTTGCCGCGCGACGGGCCTCCTGTCGGGTATCCCAAATCTTCTTACGTCTCTATTCTGTTATTCTCCGATTCTCTTGATTGATA